CAAGTTGCTGTCGTTTTGTTCTTCAGTCTAGTTGTGGAGGATGTTGCTTCACTGGCCCAAGTTGGCACCATCATTGCGCTCTTCCCGGGTGAGGCAGATTAGTCGCCGGCTTCTGGATGGCCGCTCATGGCGGCTGCTGGCCGCTCACGCTGGCTGCTGGCTACACACGGGTAGCCCATGGCAAACCCACTGCAGCAGGGGCTGCAGCCTACGCCTCCCATTATTTTAATGTAATGTCATTACATTACATTCGTGTAAAGTCCCAATTGTTGGAATATGCATGTATGCCTTTCTATGTGTTTCTATGTATATATATTTAAGGGAGTGTCTGTGTATTCATGTAAATACGTGTGCCTGTCGACATATATGAACAAATGTGTTTATTTGTGTGAATTACATCTGAGTATGACTGGGGGGAGGCCTCTGTAAAAGAGAATAAAGGTGAGATCACAATATAGGTGAGGCAGAGGTGGGATATTTTATATCAAGGATGCTTTAGTCTCCTGCCATCAGTGTCTCCTGAGGCAGTAAGACGGAGACAATAGAGGACAGGAAAGAGTTAAACCATCAGCCACTGTTCACAGACAAGAAGGGTGACTGAGCCTTGGCTTGAGTCCAGGTCAACCCCCCGGGGAGGCACACAGCTTCCTTGCAGCACCCTCCTCCCCCCAAGATGCCCCCTGGCCAGGGCCCATGACACTTGGTCTCTTGAAATAACTCAGGAGGTTTCAAAAGAGACGCCTTATCTGCTTTCCCCTTTTGGACACTACAGATCTTTTGTTGAGTCCATTGTGAATCTAAAACCTGTAAGATGAGAAAAGCTCTGTGTGCCTCCGCGACAGAGCGAAGCCCCTCCATAGAGACACAGTGGGATTGGGCATGTCATCATTAGGGCATGTTGACGCGAGGCTCTCCAGTCAGATCAAAAGCTGGAATCCTCTCTGAGCCACCGTCTGACACAATCATCCTTTGGGTCCTATAGTGAATTACCTTTTATGCTGTAGTTCAAGTTTGGCAAACTACTGCAGTCGCCTGGTTTTGTGAATAAAGTTGTATTGGAACACAGCCATGCTGACTCATTTACCTATGGTCTGTGGCTGCAGAGTTAAGTAGTTGTGACTGAGACAGTACAGCCCACATCGCCTAAAGTATTTACTATCTGGCCTTTAAGAAAAAGCTTGCTGACCCTGCCAAGTCCAAAATGTATACTCTCTCTTTCACAGGCCCTCCACAGACAGTTGGAGTCTTCACTGGTGTATCGTCTGTTGCACAGAGAATTCAGTGTCTTCACTGCTGTACCACCTCTTCTGTCACTCTAAGCCATGTAGACGCTCTTCAACCTGATTTGTTCTTCCTCACGTCTATGCCTGTTCTCAGATTGTGCTGTGTACTTGCTATTGCTCTCTTCGCAGCCCACTAAGCCCTCTTTCTATCAGTTAAGTGCTTTGGACATTCCACCACATCATGAAATCTCCCTGGACATTTGGGGGTTTATTTGGGGTGCTCTGGGACACACCAGGCCCCTGTCTCCAGCAATGTGAGCACTGGGTGACGCAGCCCACACACAACCCCCACTGGGTCCCTCCATACCCTTTGGAAAGTTGTGTTTTGATTGCTTTCTGTCTTCTTTCCTCGTAAATCTTTTCATAAGTCAGATCTTTGAGCAAACACTATCACAATCTAAATCTAATGAAAACAGATAACCTGCTTTTTTTTTTTGCCAACAATTTGATATGCGATTACAGGGCAGGGAAAAATTGGGGCCATTTCCTTGGATTTCATTGTAGATTGAATTTGGTCTTGAAGAAGGCAGGGTCAAAGTTAGGCTTAGGTCTTATAACTCCCAGTATAGCGCGTCTTGGATTGTCAGAAAACCTTACCTGTAAAAGTAAGGGATTGAGCCAGGTGAGTTCCGGCTTGTCTAAACAGAGAGACTGAGTTACAGCTGCATCCTTTATCATGCTAATTTTCTATAATTGGATGACAAGTGTCTATTATTACTTATTAGCATAGACAAATTTGGCACTCCCTGGTACCCAGCGGCCTTCCTCTATCTCAAGTGGTCTTTACCAATTATCTCCCAGTTTGTCCCTTTTGTATTTATTTATCCTACTTTTCTGCTTTCCCCCCACAGCAGTCATTGTCCAAACCTGCTTTTTTCCGGCAAAATTCAGAGAGGAGGAACTTCAAACTGCTGGACACTAGGAAGCTGAGTCGGGATGGAACTGGGTCCCCTTCCAAACTCAGCCCCCCCTCCACCCCCAGCAGCCCTGACGACACCTTCTTCAACGTGGGAGACCTGCAGAATGGCAGGAAGAAGAGAAAGATACCCAAGGTAAGGCTTGCAACAAGCTTCGCGTTCAGATATGCACCCCACCCCCCTTCCCTGCAAAGGAAGGCTGCAGGTGAGCCTGTGCAGAGGGTGGGCCACTGGGCCCTCTCCAGCCTGCTCCATCATGGGCCAGGTGGACGCGGTGAAGCCAGCAGCCTCGGATGTCTGGGCCTTCGCCGTAATAACTCTGGTGGTCCTGCAGCCTTCCTCTTAACCACCCTGCTCGCAGCCCTAGCTGTTCTTCTGACCCGAGAGCGTTCCCAGTGCCCAGCCTCAAAAAGCCACCTCCTGCTCCTTTTGTGGCCCGAGAAAGCAGAGCTGCCTCCACCATGCTCCGAAGCAGTACTTGTTTTAAAAACATCTCTCCTGGCTCTTCTCAGCCCAGAGGGTAAAACCGCCCAATGCCTTGGATGTGCCTCCCAGTGTGTCTGCTATTGATGAAATTTCCTTTGGCTCAGTTTGAACCCTGAAGTGCCGGTCACTCTTTATTGGCCATTGTGGTACCAACTTTCTACCGGCACTTTTAGAACAGGAATTCTTAATTTCCGAGTCCGTGGACGGGCCTGTGGGGAGGTCACAGAACCCATACTATTGTGTAAAACTTTGTGTGGATGAGTTGTGAGGGATGGGGGTGGGGACTGGGGACTGTCTATAGGTTTCATCAGATTTCTCACAGTGAACCGAACCACTGACCTGAAAGAAAGTCAAGGGCCATCTTCACAAGCTGGCCACTGCTGACACAGTTTGGCTCACCACTGTTTTGACCCATAACTTCACCCCTGCCCTCCAAACGTTTCTTATTCTAATAAAGTTAAGTCACCGTGCATTCTGAAGAGGAAGGGGAGGCTCAGGTAGTGGAGGAAGCATCTAAACCCCGCAGCCTGGTGGTGGGGGTTTCGGTGGACAGGGAGACACATCTCACTTTGCTTTGTCGATGGGCGGCAGAGAGAGAGGCCCGGACAGAAGCTGTGCCTCACTCCCCTTGATGTTCCCCTGGTTCAGCCTGGCCCTCCCTGAGCACAGCGTGGATTGTGTATTGATTATGTGAGCTTTGCTGAATGGGCTCCCCCTGAAACATGGACCCCAGTTTCTGTCAGCCATGGAGGAGTCACTCCCACGTCCCCCTGTTCGTGTACAAGTAGGTGAACACACACAGTTAGTTTTTCTCTCTAGGGAAATTTTTTTTTTAAGATTTTTTTTTTAATTGGGGAATTGGGGGATGGGAACAGCGCTGGGGAGTTGGGGTAACCCACTGCAGCAGGGGCTACAGCCTACCCATCGCTGGGGACTCACGGCAGCCCAGCTCCAGGTTGAGCTGTTGTTCAGCATCTTAGCTGTAGAGGGCAGTGTCACTGGCCCTCATATGTGGGATCCGAACCGGGGCCCTCTGGCGCCCCAAGCCAGCTCTTAACCAATGTGCCACTCGGCTGGCCCAGAGCTGGCATTCTTGTGTTCATTGTATCTTGAGTAAATGGAAGGGTGTTAACTACATCATAGCTCTCTTCTTTCTAGTTATTTTTGGATGTTTTGGGGAAGATTTTGAGTGGGTTTAAAATTTTCCTTGTCTCCAAAAAACAATTTGACCTAGCAACTCATTTATTTATTGATATTTTTAAGATTGTGGTAAAATATACACAATAGAAAACTGAACCGGGCTGGCCGAGTGGCTCAGTTGGTTAAGAGCTCGCTCAAGAGTGCGAGCTCTGAGCAACAGGGTCGCCGGTTCCATTCACGGCCTGAGCTGAGCTGCTGCTGAGCTGCCAACAGGTGGCAGGATGGCTCAGCTAAAAAAAAACACAAAAAACAAAACTTAACCATTTTAACCATTTTTAAGTGTATAGTTCAGTGGCATTAAGTATATTCACAGTCACGCCATCCATCTCCAAAATATTTCATCTGCCCAAACTGCCCATTAAACCCTAACTCGCCACGTCCCCCTCCCCACAGCTCTGGCAACCACCCTCTACTTTCCATCGCTATGAATTTGCCCACTCCGGGTACCTCACATAAGTAGAACCACATAATATGTGTCCTTTCGTGACTGGCTTGTCTCACTTAGCACAATGTCCTGCCCTCGAGGTTCATGCATGTTGGAGAGTGTGTCAGAATTTCCTTCCCTTTTTTAGGCTGAATAATATTCCATTGTATGTTTGTGTATGTACCACATTTTATCTATTCTTCCATTCACGGGCATTTGGGTTGTTTCCACCTCTCGGCCATGGTGAATAATACCAGCAACTCATTTAATGGTGTCTTCTTCCGTGGGAAATGGGATAGAGTTAATATTCCAATGGTTAGAGCATGCGCAGAAAGAAAAGAAGGCCAATTCAGGGGGGTGAGCTCTCCGGGAAGTGGCTGGCTCATAAGAGCAAACATGAGGAGACCTCATTTGGTCAGATTCACGGTTAGGAACAAGGAGTCACACAGAGAGCTGGCAAGGCCGGGGCTGGGCCCCCTGTCAGGAGCCAGGGGGCACAGCTGTCTGAGAATCACAGGGCAGTGTCAGTGACAGTCTGCAGAGCTAGAGGGGTAGGCCCCAGGCCTGCCCCAAGGTGACCTTGAGAGTAAGCCCCCCTCCTCCCTGGGCAGGCGTGGAGAAGAGCTGGTGAGCCATTTTAGGGTGTAGAGGGCAGAGATGGGGATGGACTGGCCTCAGCCAGTCCATCTGCACTCACCTGGCTGCCTACACTCTCTTGTTTACCATAGCACACCCCCTCTCCTGTTCTTCATGCATAAAAGAATTGGAAACTTCCAAGTCAGCTTACAAACACAGCCCCCTTTAAAACTACTAGTGGGTTTGCCTCCACTCTGCATAGGTAGACTTCCCCTTCTCCCAGCCGCACATGGAACCCAGAAGGCTTCCACTCCCGAAAGTTGCCGGGGGTGCTGTAAAACCTGGTGGGAAGTGACCCAGGGCTTCGATCACAAGGAGCTTCTGCAAGTCAGCCTGGAGAGCGTGCTGCCATGTAGTGCTGTCTATTGAGTGAGTTGGCTTCCGAGCACAAGGAGAGGTCACGAAAGGCCCAGTGAGTCAGGGGCGAGTGGGCCTCTGCAGGAAGGACAGTGTGCTGAGTACACGGCACTCGCTACTCTGCCCAAGTGAGGACTACATGTCCTCCTAATCCCTGCTCCCTTTCCACTCGGGCTGCTCAGACATTCCCTGGCATGGATCCCATGAAAGGGGCCCTGCCTGGGAGGGTTTTTTTTTTTATTGCTGTCTCTTCCTTTCCTTGTTTTGTTTTGGGGGCAAAAAGCTTTTTCCCAAACCACAGTGACACTGCAGTATTGGAAGGGGAGCAGCCCTCACACGATTAGCCAATGAAATGGTCTCCCTCTGGGTCTCAGCTGGGTGGGTTAGCATATTGAGACAACACCCACTCATACATCAGTGAGGCTGGCAGCTCCTTTAGTGTCTTGACAGCCACCGTCCTGCCTGGCAGAAAAGAGTGATTGAAAGACGCCAGTGGGCCCGCGGGAGCCGTCTCCTCCCTCCGCCTCCCCCTGGCCCTCCAGCATCCTGGAGGAGAATGGGCAGTACCGGCACCCCAGCTGTGCGCGGGGAGGAGGCTGCTGACACTGGCATTTCTTCTCCCGGTGTCTGGCAGCTGGTGTTGCGAATCAACGCCATCTATGAGGCCCGGAGAGGAAAGAAGCGGGTGAAGAGGCTGTCCCAGTCCGCGGAGAGCAGCTCAGGAAAAGGTAGGGTCCCCGCCACCACCCCCGCACCCTCGAGAACCCAAACACAGATTCTTCCTAGAAGTGGCTTCCTGTTGTTTGGGGTTGGCTCACCAAAGAGAAGAAGTTGGTGCCTTGTAAATGTCCCCCCCTGTTCCCTCAACAGTCGGAGAGCCAGGAGCTCCGCCTGGTGGCACATCCGCTGGTCCCCTCTCCCTGTCCATCCGTCCAGTGAGCCCCATGCAGCACGCCCCGACCTCCCCCTGGGAGCAGTCTCCTTTGCTCGGCATGCATAAAAGGGGCCAGTGTCTTTTGCTGTATTATTTGATACACATACCATCTGAGCGAGAGCCAGGCTAATTTGGAAATACATTTAGTTGGACAAAGACATGGTTCATCCATCACATTTGAACAAACAAAAAGAAAAAAGGAAACAGCCCATCTGAGCTAGAAACCCTGGATTTGTGCTACCACAAAGTTTCCTGCATTAGGGGCCGGCCGAGTGGCTCAGTTGGTTAAGAGCTGGCTTAAGAGCGTGAGCTCTGAGCAACAGGGTCGCCAGTTCAATTCCCAAATGGGTCAGTGACACTGCGCCCGAGCTGAGCTGTCACTGAGCTGCCAATAGGTGGCAGCATGGCTCAGCTGGTGTAACAACAAGATTGCCTGTTCAATGGTGGGCTATGCCTACCTGAAACTAAGACTCAACTTGGCACCTTGAGCTGAGCTGCCACCCGGATGGCTCAGTGGATAGAGCGTGCGCTCTTAACAAGGCTGTTGGTTCAACTCCCACATGGGATGGTGACTGTGCCCACCCGCAACTAAAATTGAACACAGCACCTTGAGCTTAGAGGCCACGAGCTGCCAACAGGCAGCCAGATGGTGACTGGCACCCTCTACAACTAAGATTGAAGAACAACAACTTGGCTGGTCCCCTTCCCCAATTCCCCAACACTGTTCCCCTCCCTCAATTCCCCAAAAAAATCTTTAAAAAAAAGTTTCCTCCATTAGAAAAACTCACATTTACAACTTTCTTTTTTTTTGTTTTTTTGTCTAGTAACTGATGAGAACAGCGAGTCTGACAGTGACACCGAGGAGAAGCTGAAAGGTGAGATGAGTTGCTGGGTGTGGCGACTAGGAGGCTGTAGGGATGGCCCTACCTGCTTAGTGTGAGGGGAGGAACAGGACGTCTTGTGCGCTTGTTGGGCAGGTCATGACGGTGAGGGGACAGGTGCTCAGGGACAGGTCAGTCCTGAGCATGACGAGATGAGCCCATTTCACTCCAGAGACCCAGGGTGGCTACAGCTACAGCGAGTCCCTGTCCCCAGGCCTTCCTTGGGTCAGGTGTTTCTCCCACCTGTGTAAGGTTCAGCACTGCTGGCCTAAGACCCCAGACACATCAGGCTGTTGCCCCACTTCTGTTAAAATAGCTGTGTGATCTGGAGGAAACCCCTTAAGGTCTCAGGGTCTCTGGTGCCTCGTGTGTCATATGAACTCTTTGAAATCATTGTTCCCCGTGGGTCTAAATTCGGAGATCTAGGTCAGCCATTACTGTGTTCCATGACTTCTCAGCCCCCAGCGGGAAGCCAAAGAAAGCTGTAGCCAGGGCTGCTGGGTAAGGCGACGGACCTGTCTGCTCAGCGCCCTGCCCCTAACACACAGCCCCCCCCCCCCGGCCCAGCTCCAGGAGAAAGCAGGTCCGTCTCCATTGCACAGAACAGTGGCAGGAGAGAAGGCGATGGGCATTCTGGAGTTAGGCAGGTCTCTGCCAGTTGAGTGGCGCGGATGTTTACAAAACTTCCAGCTCTGAAAGCGCTATGGTTTGCATTTTGTCATATCCCATAAACTGAAAGATGAAGGAAATGAGTGAGGGGAGGAGTCAGTGAACACAAGGATTATTCAAGGCGCTGCCCCAAGTCCTGACAGCAAATCCACACAGAGCAGAGGCCCCAGTTTCCAGATTCCGGCACCCTGGTTAGCCTAGTGGCCATCGAATGGGGCTCCTCCCAGAATCTTGGCAAGGACCCCACATAAAGAGTTTGTACTAATTTGTTAAATGTGGGAAGACTTTTTTAGTATTAGAAAAAGTACTTGGAGCTGGGAGTTACATAACCTGTTACAGCTCTGTGTAACATTGGAAAAGGAGTCGTTCTCAGGCGCGTGCTCTCTCCCTCCCACCCTCTTTCTCTTTCCCTCCCTCTTTCTCTTTCTCTTCCTCCCTCACTTTTTCTCCCTCCCTCCCTCCCTCCCTCCATCCCCCCCTCTCTCCCTCTCTCTCCCTCTCTCCCTCTATGTACCTCCCTCTCTCTCTCCCCCCCTCCCTGTCTCCCTCCCTCCCTCGCCCCGTCTCCAGCTCACAGCCAGCGCCTGGTCAGTGTGAAGTCACGCCTGAAGCAGGCCCCGAGATACCCATCGCTGGCCCGGGAGCTCATTGAGTACCAGGAGAGGCAGCTCTTCGAGTACTTTGTGGTGGTGTCGTTGCACAGGAAGCAGGCCGGGGCCACCTACGTGCCAGAGCTCACCCAGCAGTTCCCTCTGAAGGTACAGGGTGGGCCTGCCAGGGGACAGACGGCAGCGTTCTGCCAACACCTTGTTGGGACTCGTGGATTCAGGGAGGCGTGGGAGTCTGAGGAACACTTAGTGTCTAGAATCTCAAAATTGGGCCCTAATCAGGGTATATCAAATGAAGAAATTGCTTCCCGGGAATTTGGGAGGTCCCAGGAGGAGGTGAGATTCAAGGACTCAGAGTCCGGACAAAAATACTCACTCCTTGTGGTCGCTGTGCCAACCACACCACCCTCTTCGTCCTCCCTGTCTTATCCAGCCACCTCTCTTCCCAACCTGTCCTTGAAGCCTTTCCCACCCAGCCACACAGCTGTCCCCACGGAGTGTCACGTTTATGTCCATGCTCAGCCTCTGCACATGCGCTGTGCGTCTCTGTGTGTGCGTCCGCCCAGGATCCTGTTCTGTTCTAGCAGGCTCACGGCTCTGTGGATGGGCTTTACCGTGTAGAAAGCATGGCACCCAAATGGAATGGCGCTGAATGAAGCCTGATGTGGCATGGCCAGTGGTGTGTAAATTACTCTTAGGCTTTGGCGTCAGGATTAAAGAGGTCCCACCACATTCTCATTCAGCTCAGCCAGCATTTACTGAGGCCCTATCACATTCGAGCTGTTTTCCACTTGGCCCCCGGGGTTTCACAGATAAACACAGTGTGTCCCCTGTCCTCAAGGAGTTCGCACTCTGACACGAGGGCATAAGTTGAGCGTACATAGGCTCCCAAGGGAGCATGTGACACTCCGCAAGGTTTACACAAACCCAAAGTTGAGGGTGTTCAGAGAGGGAGGAGGGGGGCGGGAGCTCCCATCCTGGGCCCCTCAAGGCCTCCGTTGCTGTCACCACCCAAGCAGAACCCTAGCACACCAAGGCCCAGGCCCCAACCGTCCCTCCCCTCCTCTCCTGAGCCAGCACAGCAGCCAAGCCCTGTGCTTGGACTCTGCACAAATGAAGTAAACAGAGGCGCCGGCCCTCCAGACTGGCACATGGTCACCTTCGTCCAGCTGCCCTCTAGGGATGATCCCCTGAAAACCCTGATGCTATGGGCAGGCCCAGATTTGCGGGGGGGGCTGCCCCTGGGCACGAGGCTGCTGGCTGTGCTCACACTGAGTCACAGTACAATGGGGAACCACACAAGGCAGGAAGGACTGTCCTGTCATTCTGTCCACTCCCCCCAGGGGCTTGCACAGTGTCTGCGCATGTCAGCTGAACGTTCCAGGAATAAAGGCGTTAATCCATGAATTAGTTAATTCATGAATCACCGTAACTATGTTTTTAGTTTCTGGCAATTAGACATTTACACCCCTCACAAAGTGGTCACCCCATCAAGCCTACTACCCATGTGACACTGTACACAGCTATTACAATACCATTAGCTATACTTCCTATACTGTACTCACATCCTGTGAAAGACAGACTGGAGATTAAGATCGTTTCTATTCCTCACCAGCTTCCATACTAGTTGTATGATCATGAACAAATAACCTAAGACGTCAGAGCTTATTTCCTTATCTCTAAAATAAGAATGTCAGGTGGGTGATGTCTAGTTTCCTTCTAGTTCTGATATTCAGGGACCCTCTGAAGTGAGTTGAATGTCACAATCTGATACAGCGTAACTGGATGCATTCACTAAGAAATGTTGTACGTCTTAGCCTGGATGGGAAGGGCAGCTTTGCCTGGGCCCAGAGGTTGGAAGACTCGATTTGAGGCTCGGCCTTACAGATTCATATTTAGAAGGGATTGCTATGACCGTTTTTTTCTTATTGATTAAACTATTATAGTTATATTCCAGAATGTTAGGCACGGAGAACATTTCTCTAACGCACACTGTTCCTTTCTCCTGACTTCCCCCAGAAGAACATAGTTGGAACTGCCCTGGGGAAAAGGGCCCCAGCAGGCTGAGCTGCAAACCCTTTCCAAAAGAGGAGGTTAAGGTGGCAGTCGTGACTGTGGGAAGGTGGGGGATGTGATCTTGCCAACCATCTGTCTCAGCTCTCCTATGCTGACAACCTTTATTCTCCAACCTTCTCTCACCCTGCTCCCTGCAGTTGGAAAGGTCTTTCAAGCTCATGAGAGAGGCCGAGGACCAGCTGAAGGCTATCCCCCAATTCTGTTTTCCGGATGCCAAGGACTGGACTCCCGTCCAGCAGTTTACCAGGTATGTGCTGGCATCTCCCCGCGCCACCTGCAAAGACAAGGGTAAGAATTAGAGATGGGGTCCAAGACACACCCCAAAGTCAGCCCTACTCTTGAGCGGTCATGATGGGCCTGGGCCTGGAGATTCCCCACCAGTGTTTCCAAAATGTCCCTGAAGGTAAGACTCACCTCGCTAAGAATGCAGATTTTCAGGCTTCCCACTCAGTCTGGGACTATGTTTGTTTCATGCGCCTCAATGAAGGGCGATAAAGTCATTCTTAGTCTAGGAAAAGTTAGGGAAACATTGCCCGTTGCCCACCTGGGAATCGAACTGGCAACCCTGGTGCCACCAGCACCATGCTCCAACCAACTGAGCTAACTGGTCACCCCCTGAAATATTACTTTAGTAGCCCATCTAGCTGTGACTCACATGGAAACGTTTACATTTCTGCTTTAGCTCATGTGATTAGATATCAATATTGGGATTATCCGATCATTCTGCAATTGACCAAACTCAGTAGGCTGCGTATCCTAAGTGTCTGAGGGATGCTTGTGTTCCTTAAAGTTGGCCCAGCAGCCTCTAGGCACAGTCCGAGCCTCGGGGCAGCTCTGAACAGATAGTGCCCTGGGAGAGCCGCGCCAGCGTCAGTTCCAAGAGGAGCACAGGACTGTCCCCCTTGTCAGCTCTTCCCTCTCTGAGCCTCATTCCCAGATCCCCAGATGCCACCTCACCCTCAAGCTCATTGAAGGCAGCCTCCAAAAGATGCCCAATACATGACTGCTGTGTTTTGTACAACGGGGATGGCTCAGGTGATAGAAGTGTATGAGAGCGCAGGGTGAAAAAGAAATTCCTCGTTTCCTCTCCGGACACAGTGACACTTTAGGTGTCCCTCTCCCTGACACAGACTGCGAAGCTCGAGGTGACCAGAGTCCTAGCCCAGAGATGAACAAGCAGGAATGGGAACAACCTTTTGGACAGCCTCCTTCAAAAGGCCCTTGTCGCTCAGCGCGATATGTCTTTGTTTTGTCTTGCTTTGTAATGTACTTTTGTTTTCCCCACCACAGTGAAACGTTCTCATTTGTCTTAACTGGAGAAGATGGGAGCAGAAGGTTCGGTTATTGCCGAAGACTGCTGGTTAGTACTTGCTTCTTAGTCAGCAGGAGCTCTGCGCAGAGCCAGCACTGGCGTCCTGCGGTTCGTGGTGTGTGTGCCCTGAGAGAAGGGACAGGAAGTGTGGCAGTTAACAGGGTGGCTAAAAACATGGAGGACGGTCATGGTCTCCCCGTGTCTTCCTGGGAAGGGAACAGTGCCTGCGCCCTTTGGAAAGAAAATACTTTCTCCAACATTTTCCCCGCCACATAAAAGGCCTATCTCTTCTTAAACCGAATGTTCTTTCTAATAAAACATGCCAAACAGACCTTGATAGCTTAGAGAGAACATTCATAACGGTTGCTAAAGGCAAAAGAAGGATGGATTTATTATTGTTCGGGGCACAAAGGATTCAAGAATGTCTCCTTCAGAACCATCCCTTTTAAAAGTCAAAAACTTATTCCAGCGAAATAACCATGCTAAAACATTGTAAAACTTATCTTTTGAAGCCCATTGTTTGGAAAATACCTTTGGTAGTAAAACATCGTTTTCCACTGAGAATGGTTTTAGTTTTAGAAATAGGCTAATACAATTTAGAGTCAAGAATAAGGCATGGCACATAGTCGATGTTCAATAAATATGTGTTGAATTAATTAGTGAATACGAAGTATGGATAATAATTGAAAAAATTAAGTGGGATCATACCTGTTATTGATAAAATTAATATAAAGTATTGAGATTGATTTTCTTTTTGATTTGAAAATTAGCTTAAAAGTCAGTTTCCAAAAAGGATTTTCAGAAATGATCTCTCCTTTGGAATTATCATTATAATAAGTATAAAGTCTCAAAGTAACTCCTTAAAAGGAAGTATAGTGATTTGGTTAAACAAGTTAAACCTCCTCACTTGATGGTTCCATAGGCCATATTGAACACCTGCTATGTGCATAACACCCGTAATTTGGTTCATTCAGGGAGATTTTATTCATATATATATATATATATATATATATATATATATATATATATATATTATGATCAAAGTGATTCCCACCTATAAAATAGGGTATTGATAACTACTTACCTCATTGGGCTGTCCAAAGGTATGGTACATGGAAACATCTGGCACACAGTAGGCACTCAAAAACGTTCGCGTTCTTTCCTTCCCTGAGGCTGGTACACTCATGATTTCCTTGTGTTTCACTCCAAAAAGCCTGGAGGCAAAGGGAAGCGTCTCCCTGAAGTGTACTGTATCGTCAGCCGCCTGGGATGCTTCAGCCTCTTTTCAAAGGTGAGGACTGACTTGGGCCTCAGAGAAAGGAAGGGAAGGCAAGGCAGGACACAGGAGACACCCAACTGCCGGGACTTTTATGATCTTATTCTCCTGTATTTTCCTTCCCACTTCCTCTCCTCCCCTCATGGCTCCACTATTCTCTTATTAATGGGACAGGAAACAACAGTTGATGAAAGTCAGGGCTCAGAACCTGGGGAAGGGAAGAGTCAAAGTGTATGTAGTTGAGGACGGGAAAGGCAGAGGATCTACCCAGAATATTCCATATGTTTTACTTCCCCTCTTCTAAGCATTGTCTATTGTCATATTAGCTTTCTCTGGACAAAAAAGCCACTATGATGGATGAATGGATATGTACCTGTGTCTGTATGTGCTGTGTGTATATGTGTGTTGTGTTGTGTGTGTGTGTGTGTGTGTGTGTGTGTGATTTATTATTGTAATAGTGCTCTAAATCTATCAAAATCTTAATAGAATTTGGTCCTCTTTTTGGGAAAACAAGCCAATATATCAAAATACAGGAATTGTCGTCCAGCCCAGTATTTCAGTATTTTGGATTGGTGTATGAGATAATTACTGTCCTGTATGATGCTGATCTCAAAAATTAGGTATACTCCAACATTTGTTTCTTATATTAGCTGGACATGAGTGTCTGATCCATAAATTTATTTTAAGTCCTTCTTGAGCATGTATTTCATTATTGTTCCCCTATCCCCTCCCCTCCCCATTAAATGTTTTCAATTTTTTATCATATTATTTTCTTTTTATTGTGCTAGATTGTACATAACATAATATTTACCATTTTAACTATTGTTCTTAAGTGGCATTAAGTACATTCACACTGTTGTGCTACCATCACCCCCATCCATCTTCAGAACTTTTCTCATCTTCCCCAGCTACAGCTCTTCCCCATTAAACAACTCCCATTCCCTCCTCCCCTAGCGACTGGTAACCACTGTTCTGCTTTCTGTCCCTATGAGTTTGACAACTTTAGGATCTCATGTAAATGGAATCATACAGTATTTGTCCTCAAGGTTCAATCCATGTGTTGGAGCACTTGTCAGAATTTCTTTCCTCTTTAAGGCTGAATAATAGTCCATGGTATGTCTATACCATATATTGTTTCTCCATTTATCCATTGATAGAAATTTGGGTTATTTGCACCTTTTAGCTATTGTGAATTATGCAGCTGTGAACATGGGTGTACAAATATCTGTTGGAGTTCCTGTTTTCAATTCTTTGGGGTTCATACCCAGAAGTGGAATTGCTGGATCATATGGTAATTCTATGTTCAATTTTCAAGGAGCTACCAGACTGTTTTCCAAAGGGACTCCACTATTTTACATTCCAACCAGCAGTGTATGAGGGTTCTATTGTTCCGCTTCTTGGTCAACACATGTCACTGACCTTTTTATTTTATTTATTTTTAAAAATATTTTATTGGGGAATTGGGGAAGGGGAACAGCCATGTTGTTGTCCTTCAATTTTAGTTGTGGAGGGTGGAGCTAGCTCAGCTCCAAGTCCAGTTGCCATCCAGAAGCCCATCAGCAGCTCGCAGCCACTCAGCTCAAGGTGCCGAGTTTAGTCTTTAGTTGCTGGTGGACATAGCCCACCATATTGAACAGGCAACCTTGCTGTTAGCAGCACGTGCTCTCACCAGCTGAGCCATCCTGCCACCTGTTGGCAGCTCAGCAGCCGCTCAGCTCGGGCGCAGCTCACTGGCCCATGTGGGAATTGATCCGGCAGCCCTGTTGCTCAAAGCTCGCGCTCTTAACCAATGAGCCACTCTGCTGGCCCTGGCCTTTTTATTATAGCCATCCTAATGGGTATGAAGTGGTATCTCATTGTGGTTTGGGTTTGCATTTCCCTAATGGCATTTCCCCAGAAAATTTTAATTCCACAGATATACCTTATGTCTGTTTATATAGCCCTGCATATAAACCATTACAATATCTAAGTTTTTCACCACCACCCCCACGAACCATTTTTACCCCCTTGGGAGCTATATTGCTCCCACTGAGAATATATATATTATTAGCCCAGCCAGCCACATGGCCAAACTGAAAGTCATGGGGGGTGCAAAGGACTACTCTTGAGTGGGAGGAACTGCAAAGTCACATGGCAAAGGGAGGGGAGAAGAACCGGGGTAATACACATAGGGTGAAAAAGACGGTTTGTTTAGCCTGGTGAGGACAGCAGGGGCGTCCCCATAAACCTTCAGTCTCCATGGCAGGCCCACTTCCTCTGGGACAGAGCTACATCCTAACTTCAGGATGGCTGAGCTGCTTTCCTGACCCTTGCAGATCTTGGACGAGGTGGAGAAGCGACGAGGCATCTCTCCTGCCCTGGTACAGCCCCTCATGAGGAGTGTCATGGAAGCCCCTTTCCCAGCCCTGGGCAAAACCATCATTGTCAAGAACTTCTTGCCAGGATCAGGCACTGAGGTGAGTGGTCAGATTCCTTTCCTTTCTTAGAGAAAAGAATTCCAGTGGTCTGAGGGGTTGGCTTTCAGTGACCTGTTACATTCAGTGATGGCCTCTTGCTCCCCGGGTGTCATAAATTCCACCTAAGTTTCATCTATCCAGCCCAGGAGTCTGCCCAGAGAGCAACCCCAGAACTATGCCATGGCAGCCTGTCACGTCCAGCGTGGCAAGGGCAAACAGGTTTCTCTTAAGGGGCGACGCAAATTGAATAAGAGCAAGAGACAAAAGTAAGATTAAGAGCGAGACCAAGGGACTCAGCCAGAGAAGACTGAGTGAGCCCAGAATCGGGTCAGCGCATGGCTTTTATTGAGAAATTTGAAAAG